TGGAATATCGAATATTTTCCACTCTCCTTGGGCAGATATCAGCGTGTTTGTGATTGTTTACTTAATAAGAAGAATGCTATGGTGAACGAGAAAAGTCGAGAAATGGTGACCAGTGTACATGGATTGAGGGGTGTATGGTTAGGCTTCCGGTGCTCACTATTGCATAAGTGTAGCGAATGCAGTTGCAGGAGCAAAGCGATTGCACTCATGAGCTTGTGAGCGACACGCTAGTATATATATATATATATATATATATATATATATATATATATATATATATATATATTGTGGTAGGATCCACCTAATTTGCATAGTGGAGTACCGACCATATAAATATGGTTGGTACCGGGAAGAGAGGGGGGAATCAAGAGATTCAAAGAGAGACTCTGCCCGACTGCGATTCAGTCAACACATTCTCCAGGAACGGTCTTACCAGGAATATACAAAAGACTGTATGTAAATATTGTGTACACTTTCTTGTTTCAATACATTTTGTTCTAAGTACTTTTTGTGTTACATTATTATTCCATGCATTAGCCAAGTTTCAACTTATATATATATATATATATATATATATATATATATATGTGTGTAAACGAATGCGTGTGCGCCTAATACATACATACATACATATATATATATATATATATATATATATATATAGTTATACTCGTTTGGAAAAACCTTAGGTATTTTGGCTTGTAATTAAACAAACTACTGCCCAACGGAAAATAAGGGATAAAAAAAGAAAGAACTAAGAACATGAAATTGAAGAGAAAACAATCGTCCAGAATTCAAGCTCAGAGTCCAAAGAAAAGAAAAAAAAACTCCAAAACGAGTAAAGTGCTCAATAAGGTAAGCAGAGCAAACCTAAATCTGAACCTAATGACCCAGGTAAAGCTACCTAGGTTTCACCTATTCGGATCGTCAGGGTCCACTAGCAAACGATGTAAGGGTGGAACAGAATTTAGAAACAACCACATATATATTTAGGTACACCAGTTGTAACAACAAAATTGTCCAAATCGTGTAACAGCATAGTTGTCTAACCCACAAAATGTTTAATATCTAGAAAAAAACCGCTAAATTAATCGAGTTTAATCTTGCAGGTTTTCAGATGAGACGTTTAGCCATCTTGACAGCATTTGCAGTAAAAATCACTGAGAACCCATTCGAGTTATTCAGCTAGAAAACGAAAAATTTAAAATCTCTTTTTGTCAGCCTCAATTTGTCTTCTTCCCAGATGAGCAATGGTGAGAGAAAAAATATCATTCAGGTCTTCAGTAATGGTACCAACGTTTATACTTCGACATCCATCTTCAAAGTCCATTCAAGAACCATCCAGCAAACAGAGAATAAGCTTTAAAAAGATGGAACAGTACACCGGAAAACTGGATCAGGAGGTAGCATCAGGAAGAGGGATCATCATTTCAACTTTGAAACAAAGAGATCAATTAGAAAA